TAGGAAACCATTTCCCACATGAGTTTCAGGTTAACACCCCAGAGAGACTCTCCAATATCTGGGCGACCTTTAGCTTACCCCTGCTGAATGGTCATGAGGACAGCCAACTTTGTTCTCTTCTAAGGTGATAATAGAGCCAGGGTGAGGCATACCCAGTGTCCTTAGTTTAGGAGTAAAAGTTGGACTGTGTGTTGAGGCCCTGCTTCTCTTGGGTCCCTGGACTTCTTGGCTGGCCAAAGGAGGGTCTGCTTTAGGCGGTCATTTTTATAATGTTTGGTGACTAATTACAGCTTTCTAGTTCTGATAGTCCCATGCTGACTACAGAGAAGAACAGGGAGGAGGGAAGCTGGGTCAATGTTCTCAACCCCGGGGACAGAAGCTAGCCCCACATGAGCCATGTTGGAGTGGAAAGAATGCTGGCCCAGGTGTCTGAAGACCTAAAGGAGAGGTGTCTCAGGGACTCAGCTTCCTCTTCTGTCAAGGGGGTTTATGATACCCATTTACATACTCTCTAGACATTGGGTAGGGCAAATCCAGGACTGCTGTGAGTAGCTGTGTTAAGCTGAGCTCCAGGGCTGCAACCACATCAGACAAGATCATTTCCCATCTCCCATGCCATTGTTGTTACATGACATTAGAAAAAACACAATGGGATGGGGTGAGGAATTCAGGAGGAAATAAATAACCAGCAAGCATTTCTTTAGGGTCTGATGTTCTCATTTTATAGATGGGGAACTCAGGCTCTGTGAGATAGATTAATAAGTAACTTATGTAGCAAGAGAGGCAAAGACTGGATTCAGATCCAGACCTTCCTGGTTGCCTTTGGCCTATTTGCCTGGGCATCAGATGCTTCTGAAAAGGATTAATGTAGATTAGCCTTATTCTCCCTATCAGTTCTCAGTGTGTTACCAGAGTAGCCTCTGGGGCTGTTATTGTGCCTTTCAAGTCCTCTGTCTTTGGTTGAGGAAAGTCCAGTGCATAGGACTTTTCTTTCACCCACATTTCATTGGCTGCTCCTGCTACCACCTCTCCCACTGGGCTGTCCCAGGTGGCTGGAGTGAAGACATAATAAATTCTGTTAAGGAAGGACTTGCCTTTGTTTAGAGAAATGCTGTTGTAGCCATCCTAGGGCAGAAGGAGAGAACAAGAGAAAGCAAAGGATGGCCAGAGACTCTGCTTATAAAATAGATGACCCAAATTTCACTTTCTCCATGAGACCAATGCACACGTTCCTATTTAAAATTGAATCCTGCGTCCCCCAGAATGCTTGGTCCTTCACATTCACTTTTGCTTTCCTCTGTCTTTTTGTCAGAGTAGTCACCACATTCTAATCTACCCTGTAATTTGCTTACTTATCACCTTACTTATGTTTTCTGTCTCACACTCATGACAACACTTTAGGAGGGCAATTTCTGTGTCTTTGCTCAGATACCTCCCAAATGCCTGGAGGAGACCTGAAGGTCAAATGGATAAGAGGTATTTTCAGGGCACCGGGTTGTTCAGTCAGTTAAGCATTTGACTTTTGATTTTGGCTCTAATGGTTTGTGAGATAGAGCCCCATATCTCAAGATGGAGCCCTGTGTCAGGGCTTGGGATCTTCTGTCTCTCTCTCTTTCAGCTCCTCCCTGGCTCACGTTCTCTCTCTCTTTCTCTCAAAATAAATAAATGAATAAAAATTTGTTTTTTTAAACAAAGAGATATTTTCAAGAAGAGGGAACTCCAGGTTTAACTGTAGGCTGGGGATGTTGGTTGTGATGTATGGTGTCGTGTGGTGTGGTGGTGGTGGTGGTGGTGGTGGTGGTGGTGGTGGTGTGTGTGTGTGTGTATGGATGTCCATTCCTCTCTGTGTGTGCATTTGTGTTCATGTGTGCATGCCTGTGGTTAATGATGTGTGTGAATATATGTCTGAGTTTTTACGTATGCCAGTGTGAGCCTGAGTGTGCATGTGCATGTGTCTGAGGTGGCGGGGACAGCAGAAAGAAGAAAAGGGCAGGTAACTCCAGTTTGCACTCAATGTCAGGAGCACCGATGGCACAATGTGAGGCTGCTGGGAGGTGCCAACCCAGGTTATCATCAATAGTGGCTTCTCCGATGGTGAGGCTGGGTGAACTGGAGTTTTGGTGGTGGCAGCAGCAACACTTGTGGGTCCCTCACACCATTGTGTAGGACATGCTGCAAGCAAGTGTTTTGTGACCCCTCTACCCTGTGAGGCTGCACAGTGGGTTTACCCTCATCTTGGCTAAAGGACCCTGAATCTTAGTGAGGCCCCACAGGGCCTGACTTCCCTTTCCTGAGCTGCATGGACCCTACATGGCCTGATTCTGAGTTCTGACTGCCTGGGCTGTGTGATCTTGGGCAAGTCTCTTATCTTTCTCTTCTGTGCCTTGGTTTCCTCCTCTGTAAATGGGCTAATCAAGGTGACTGCTTTATCAGGCTGATATAAAGTGATGTTTGTGATATATTAACAGATACTGGAACCTATTCAGTGGGTCACAGCTAATATAATACCATGCCCAAGACACACCGTACTCTCTTGTATGTTTTGCCAAAGGCAAGCCTTAACCAAAGTTGCACCCGAATTCTAGAGGTCTCAGAGAGTTGACCAACTGCACAGCTACCAAAGGATTAAGCTTCCTGTGACCCTGTGGCTGGGCAGAGTCCAGTCAGACCCAGAAGCCCCTCCCTGCAAGCAGCTGTGCTTTCTGATTGTGTAGTCATCTGCTATATAAGGCCCTTCACACACCTGCTCTAAACCTCTGCTGGGATCCACCTTCTGCAGGGCAGTCTCCAAGCCAGACTCTGAAGGTGAGGGGCTAAAGCCAAGCTGTGGTGGGGGCCCATCTTGGGAGAAGCTGAAACCAAGGAAAGGGCATTGTGGGGGTGGGGGGTCCAGGGCATTCTCATGGCTCTGGCTCTTTTAGCAGCACTCAGGAGAGGGAAGCCTGGAGAGGAGAGATGTGTGCATTGCGGGGCTTGCTCTCGGTGTGGTGCTGTGTCCTTTTCATACCTGCTAGGAACTCTGCCTGCCTGTGTATAAAATAAAAGTAATTGTAGTAGGACCCTCTCAAGCTATTGAAAATATCCAGTGATAGAATGAGTGGAAGGAAGTACTTTGTGAAGGGGTTTTTCAGATGCTACATGTTCGCATTTTCCATATGTGGCCCCCTGCCCCAACCTCCACCTCACTGGTTTCTCTCTTCAGAGATGGCAAGCAGGGCCCAAGTTCTCGCTACATCCAGGCTCTGACTCTGTCATGTGTCTCTGGACTGAATTCTGATCTCTCTGGGCCACCTTTATGTCCTCCTGAAAATGAGGCTATCATGTTTATGCCACAGGAAGAAGCAACTTATGTACTAGACATGGATGCTATGGCCTTTTTACATTCACATCTTTCCTTCCCTTTCCCTCCTCCTCCACACTCACAAGGCTTGAGTAGGCCCTTCCCAGGAGGCTCACCTCCATGAGCCTCTCACCCTACTGGGGTCCTGGAGCTTGGAGGCGTGATCAGGCATGGGGATATGCAGGGTAAAATGAAGAGAACATTTGCCACAAGCTCCAAACCAGACATACTTAATTTTTCTCCTTGGTTTTCTATATTTTGTGGCCATTAGATACTAAACGGGCCCATCTGCCTCCCCTGGTTTAACTAGTTTATCTTCCTTTTCACCAACACCTAATAAGTCAACTAAAGGATCATCGTTGCAGTGGTGTGTGTGGTGTGCATGTGTGTGTGTGATGTGGAGAGGTGAGAGGTGGGAGGCAGGCTGCAGCTCCCAGGTGAAGGTCACTTTTCCCTATCATGGTGCAACTCAGCTTTGGAGCTTGAAGGATTCAGACTGAAGTCCCAATTTTGTCCTAACAAGCTGGGTGGATTTGGGGAGCATTCATTATCTCTCTGTCTTTAAGTTTCCCACCTGATGAGTGCCACACTGCACGCTGTAATAAAGGAACTGTTCCAAAGCTGAGCTGGCCGATAAGCCATCACTAGCCAGGTGACTGAGAAACAAAAGGTTTTTTTTTTCATTCCTTCAATGAATCTAAATTTAAGTAGCCACATGCAGTTTGTGGCTACCATTTATAGGATAAATGAGCTAACAATCAGGAAGGACTCCGTGCAGAGACAGATACTTCCCCTCCTTGCTCCTTTGATACATGGGCAAGATGAAATTCTGGGAGCTCTGATTCAGGGTCCTAATGAATACAGAGAAACCGTAGCTATCAGATGATTAGTGGGTACAGAAAGACTGGTATGGTGGAGACTCTGGTTCAGTCCTGTAGGCTGATTGTGTTCAGCCCTGGGGCTCCGGGACTCACATGTGTTAGAGGCAGTGTGGGTGGTGGTTAGAGGCCTGAACCAACCACAGCTCTATCACCTCCCAAGAATGTGACCTTGACTTTGAGTGGTTTATTTATCCTCTCATTTCCCCTATGAAATGAGGGTGATGCTAATAACAGTACCTGTCTGCTAGGGTGGAGGCATTACATAAATTAAAGAACATAGAGTGCTCAGAATAGAGTGAGTCTTCAATTGGTGTCTGCCCATTGGGGTGGTGATGACTGCAACGAGCCCCTGAATTATGTGTCTGAGGCCAGATATTACCTAGAAGATTACATTATGCTCTGGGACAGCAAAGCCTAGCTTTCTTCTTGGATCCAATCCCCATTAGGGCTGGAAATCATCTGCTTGCCCATGTTGTACCTGAAGTGGCTCTGTAGGAAAGGTACAGTCTGTGTTTTGTATCTGTGTGTAGATGCTTCTTCAGGCATCCAGGACTGGGGAAAACCCAGACTGATACAGGTAAAAGGACAGCATAGAAACTGCATCACAGCTGAGTATGCTGATTCTTTCTTTCACAAGGATGGGCTGTGTGCTGGGCTTGTCAAAATAAGACTACAACTAGGGGATGTTCCAAGACCTCAGACTACCTTATTTGTGTCTCTTCAAGCTTACAGCTGTGCAGCCACAGTCCTTGTCCTTGGGAGACACCAGATCCAGCACCATGAAGGGCATCCTCCTTACCTGTATCATCGCAGCACTTGTGGTAACAGCTGTAGGTGAGGGAAAACAATGACACCCTTTGGGAATGAAGACCTCTTTTCACACCTCATCAACGTCTTATCACTATTGTTGCTCTGGGGTTCTCTCATGTGGCCTCTCATGTCAAAGTGTGGTCAGTGGGTAATGGGAGACCCCTCTGTGCACACTGGTGTTAGTGGAGCTGCTCTGTGCTGTGGGTCTTCCCACTGGGAAATGGTGGACAGTGGAAGGAAACTAATGGGGATGGCTCCATCTCACAGCCTCAAGTTTGGGGGATGCCAGAGGGAAGGGATGCCATCCCAGTTATTCCTTTACCTTGAGATGGATGTGGAGCTTTGTCCCGCATACACTCTATAAGTGTTTCCTGAATGTTGACAATGCTGGACATCTTGTCTCCCCAGAATCCCTGAGTTGTGTGCAGTGTAATTCATTGACAAACTCCTGTGTCAACAGCAACATCACTGAGTGTCCCTCAGATGCCAATGTCAGTTGTACCAGTTTTGTGGCTAACTCTTCTCTAGGTGAGTTTGGGATGTTATAACCCTCATTTCTGGGATTTGCATGGGGCAGGAGCTGGAGAGGGTGGCACGGGAAGAAAGGAAGGCTGAGAAACAGCCCAGCTGTGCAAAGAGAGAGAGATGAGGTCATGAAGATGCCTTCCAGAAGAAGTAAAACGCAGAAGTCAGATGAGAATGCAAGAGCAAACAGACAAGGCCTGTGGCTTTTTGAAATTGCTGCCCTTGACCGAAACCTCATTCTGGACCTCTGTTAGTGGATGTGAGAAGCAGGGGAAGGTCTTAGTAAATTGCAAAGAAGGCAATTTGCTCTAGTTGCTTGCATTCTTCACTCTTTATGCCCCCCTTTTCTCTTTCTTAGTGTTCATTCCTGTTCCAGATCCAGCATACTTTCATTCATATTACTTCCCAGTGTGTTTTGCCGGCACTACTGTTACCTCTCTCTCAGAGCACTTAGATTTCTTTTTAACTTTTTATTATGGGCTTTTTAAAATATGGACAAAAGCAGGAAGAAGACTATAATGCATTGCCATGTAACCACTATCCTGTGTCAATAATCAACATTTTGGTTTTTTTTTTCAATAATTATCTATTTATTTTTTTGAAATTTCTTTTTTTATTTTTTGGTTTTAAAGTTTATTTTTTAAGAGAGAGAGAAGGAGAGAGAGAGAGAGCACAAATGGGAGAGGGGCTGAGAGAGAAGGGAGCAGAGAGAGAATTCCAAGCAGGCTCCAAGCTGTCAGCACAGAGCCCAATGTGGGACTCAAATTCATGAACCATAAGATCATGGCCTGAGTCAAAGTTGGATACTTAACCAACTGGGCCACCCAGATGCCCCTGCAATAGTATTTTAATTTTTTAATGTTTTATTTATTTTTGAGAGAAAGAAAGAGAGAAAGACAGCGTGAGCAGGGGAGGATCAGAGAGAAGGGAGACACAGAATCTGAAGCAGGCTCCAGCCTCTGAGCTAGCTCTCAGCACAGAGCCCGACGCAGGGCTCGAACCCACGAACTGTGATATCACGACCTGAGCCGAAGTCAGATGCTTAACCGACTGAGCCACCCAGGCGCCCCCCCCCCCGCAATAGTATTTTAAAACAAACCTAGAGGAACAAGGGGGAGAAGAAGGGCGGAAATGGTGGGGGAAAGGGAGAGAGGCAAACCACGAGAGACTCTTGAATGCTGACAAAAACTGAGGACTGATGAATGTGGGGGGGAGGGGGGATGGGCATGGAGGAGGGCACTTTGGGGATGAGCACTGAGTGTTATGTGGAAACTAATTTGACAATAAACTATTTGTAAAAAAATAAATAAATAAAACAAACTTAGATATCATGTAATTTCGCCTAAAAATACTTCACTATTCATCTATGATAAGGACTTTTTTTTTCTTTTTACATAAATAAAATACCATTGTATGCCTAAGAAAATTATCTGGAATTCTTTAATTTCTTCTAATAACCAGGTCATCTTAAAAATGTCTCAATTGTTTCAGATGTTGTGTTATAGTTAATGTATTAGAATTTGTATATAAACAAAATCCCCACACTGTATTTTGCTGTCAGATCTATTATATCCAATTTGTTTTGTAACAGGTATTATCATTTTGTTGTTGTTGTTCAATCCCATTGAATTTTTGGAGAAGCTGGGCCATATGTCCTATAGTTCTGTCTTTGTCTCATTTTCTGGCTTCAGTTAATTGCTTCCTTGTGGTATCATTTCTTTCTTCCCCTATTCCTGATATTTTCCTAAAATTGGACCCACGGTTATCAGTAGAAATTTCTTCAATAATGGAAATATTTACATTAATTCAGTCTTATATAATAGCCTCATGTGGCTATTGGCCACTTGAAATGTGGTTACATGAGTGAAGAGCTGAATTTTAAATAGCCACATATAACTACTAACTACCGTATCAGATAGCTCTGACCTAGAAGCTTGACTGTATTCAGGTTTAACATCAGATTGCACTTAGGACCATCATATCTGCTTGGCTGTTTTTCAAGATGCTAAGATTGATCAGTGCACTCTGGAATATTGGCCTGAGTCACCATTTTCAATCTCCTCATCGGTCTTTGACCTGAAGTTTAGCCTGTATCTCTACCACTCTCCTGCTAAAGGAAGAAACTGCCTCATGGAGAAAGATTTTTCTTTTTGCAGGAAACTCACCCTAGTGTCTCAAATCACATTGAACTGAGGGTATGTTTTCCACTGTTGCTTGAAGCAGTCACTATCCAGGGCCCCTGCCCTCTCTGAAGCTTCAGCACCCAGGGATGACATTCTGTGTTTGTCGTTGTGCAGTGGGAGCCATCACATTATACCAGGATAATGCCTGCTCTGCAGAGAACTGCAGGGAAGGGAGAAGCATTGTTGATGGTTTCACTGTCCACGTGTCTGATGAAGAACGCTTCCATTTTACAAGCCAGTGTTGCCAAGGGAAGGAGTGCAATGACATCAGTGATGCTCTGGGTGAGTGCTGGCAATGTGCCATCCTCCCTCTGTCCACCTGACTCTGTCCTTCCTTTGCCACCTGTGGTCCTCACCCTCTGGGGGAACATCTGGAGTCCAAGAGCTTCAGTACATATCTGGGCAATATCAATAGCTGACTTACAATAATTACATGGGAAACCCACCACTACTTTCATGCTTTTTTCCTTTCTAAGTACAGAGAGAAATCACAGCACTCCAAGTTGTATGGAATTAGATGCTTATTAGTAGTTCTCAAATTCTGTGGTCTCAGGCCTTATTTTAAGACTGTAGGTCTTAAAAATTATTGCAAACTCCAGAGAACTTTGATTTATGTGAATCATAAGCTCAGTATTTACTGTATTGGAAATTTTAAAAATTAAAAGAATTTACAAAATGGAATTTTAAAATCTTTATGGAGCTCATTGAAAAACAATAAACCCACATGTTAACATTAATAACATTTTAAATAGAAAAAGGTATATCTTCCAAACCAAACATGATATTTAGTGAGAAAACCAAACGCCTTTGGTTTCTGGCTTAACAGAAAACAACTGGGTTTTCAGATTTGCCTGTGCATTTAATCTGCTGCAATCTCTTATGTCATGTAGCATTTCAAAAACTCCACTGTACATTCGTGAGGGAAATAGTAAAAGAGGCAATGAACATCTTAGTATTATCATGAAAATGGTTTTGACCTTGTGGACTCCCTGAAAGTTTCTTGGGGATTCTCATGATTTCTTGGATCATAATTTGAGAAATGTTGGTCTATACCAAAGCACTCTCTCCCTCTATCTCTTTAGCATTTATTTATTTTTGAAAGAGAAGAAGCAGAAGAGGGACAGAGGGAAAGAGAGAGAATCCCAAGCAGGCTCCTCGCTGTCAGTGCAAAGCCCAACATGGGGCTTGAACTCATGAACTGTGAGATCCTGACCTGAACTGAAATCAAGAGTAGGATGCTTAACTGACTGAGCCACCCAGGTGCTCCCCCCCACGCCCCTGCAAAGCTCTCTTTCTAAAGAGAAGAAAACAAATCCAATAAGGCAGAGTTAGTTGGCCATAGTTCTAGTACAGGTCATTAATAGCAGAACTGGGTCTCAGTAGAATTTTGTTAAATAATGGCATATGTTCATTTACTCAGAGAAGGACTTATTTCTCTTTATTCATTTTTGTGGGGTACCTGAGTGGCTCAGTCGGTTGAGCGTCAGACTTTGGCTCAGGTCATGATCTCATAGCTCGTGAGTTCAAGCCCCGCGTTGGGCTCTGTGCTGACAGCTTAGAGCCTGGAGACTGCTTCCGATTCTGTGTCTCCCTCTGCCCTTCTCTCACTCGCAGTCTCTCTCTCAAAAATAAATAAAACCATTTTAAAAATTTGGAGTTTTACTCATTTTAGAGAGGCGGGGGCAAAGCATGAGTGGGGGAGGGGCAGAGAGAGAGGGAGACACAGAATCTGAAGCAGGCTTCAGACTCTGAGCCGTCAGCACAGAACCCAACACAAGACTCAAAATCACTGTGAGATCATGACTTGAACCGAAGTTGGATGCTTAACTGACTGAGCCACATAGGCACCCCTATTCAGAGAAAGATTTAGTAATAGCTATACACTTATTGACATGCTCAGTATAGCTGACTAATGTCATTGGTCGGTTTTAGATAAAAATCTTACCTTTCCCTTCTCAGCCCAACACACCCACTGACCACAGTTCTTCAAGACTGAATGGTTTGTAAGGGCAAGTGTGTAGGTTGTGTGCTGTGACTGTTTTGGTGGGATATGTAACTGGTTGGGATTACTAGTGTCTTCATGCAATTACCCATTCTCAAGATCTGTTTGGCGAGCATATTTGCTTGCTTGTCTCCTTCAGTACAAAGGCACTGCTATGTTATGTGTTACAACACTGTTCTAAATTACTCTTATTATTTCCAGCTCCTCTACCAGAAGATGTGTCCAACACAGAGTGTCTTGCGTGTTATGGATCTAATGAAAGTTCCTGTAGTGTGAAACCCAGGAAATGTTATAAAGAAGAATGGTGTGTCAATCTAGTTGCAGAATTTACAACTGGTATGTCTTGGGGTTTTAATTGTCGTTTATGGGACTTGAGTTGAAAACACATCAAGTCTTGGGTAATAAGTTCTGGGTTAACAAAAGAAGGTTGGGAGAGGTTAGTAGGATTAAAAAAAAAAAAACAAAAAACAAGGTCAGAATGCTTTGAGATAGTGAGGCTGTTAATGTAGCCTTGAGATGGTTGCTATTTCCACCTCCTTAGTCCAGAACCATTCATTCTGGACTGTCTACCTCTTGAACCTTGTTGTACTGTGGCTTATAATCAAGCCAGGTCTGTTTAAGTGCATCATGTCAATCCTGGCATTTATTTCTTTACTAGGTTGGAGTGTTATGTGGGTGTGTGTGTTTGACTTTTATTTCCTTTTAATACTTATACTTTTTTCTCTACTTGTCACTGAAAAGTGTTGGCTTATGACAACTTGGATCACCTGACTGAAAGAGTCAGATTGGGCTTTAATAGCCAACAAATTTTTCTTTTCTACAAAAGTAATTGGATATTAACCATTATGAACTACAAGTTAACATGTATGTATGTATGTATGTATGTATTTAGGAAGAGAGTAAGGGAGGGGCAGAGAGAGAGAGAGAGAATTCAAAGCAGGTACTGTGCTGTCAGCAGAGAGCCTAATGTGGAGCTTGAACTCAGAAACTGTGAGATCATGACCTGAGCTGAAACCAAGAGTCTGAGACTTAACTGACTGAGCCGCGCAGGAGCCCCAAAAGTTAATCATTATAAAACACAAAGCTAATACATTTATTATTCTTTACATATCCCGGCAGATGTTATACCTGAGTATTTAAAAAATAATATCTTAAGTTGGGTTATGTTCATTACTGTTAAAAAACAACCTCTAAATTCTCTGGCTTAATGTAGCAGATGTTTATTTTTTGCTCATATGGCAGTTGATTGCAGAGTCCTGGGGCCTGTTTTCCTTCTATCTTGAGGCTCTAGTTCCCACCTGCCCAGGACTTGGCAGCTTCTTGCGATATTCTTTGCATCTCACCAATAGGTCGGGGAAAGATGAGGAGTGGAGGAAGGCAGGAAAGTCTTTTCTTTTTTATATTTCAATGTTTTTATTTATTTCTGAGAGAGAGACAGAGACAGAGAGACAGAGAGAGACAGAGACACAGAGAGAGAGAGAGAGACAGCCTGAGTAGGGGAGGGTCAGAGAGAGAGGGAGACACAGAATCTGAAGCAGGCTCCAGGCTCTGAGCTGTCAACACAGAGCCCGATGCGGGCTCGAACCCACGAACCATGAGGTCATGACCTGAGCCAAAGTTGGACGCTTAATTGACTGAGCCACCTAGGCGCCCCAAGTCTTTTCTTTTTAATGTTTATTTATTTTTGAGAGAAAGAGGGGGGGCAGAGAGAGGGAGACAGGGGACCCAAAATGCCCCCCCCACACTGACAGTAGAGAGTCCCATAGGGGGCTCAACTCATGAACCAACTGAGCCACCCATGCACCCAGGCAGACAGGTTATTACAGGCAAGGCCTGAAAGTACATTCATCACTCTATCAGATTCTGTTGACTGGGACCAAAACTGCATTGGAAGGTGGAAATGCATTCTAATGGATCTAGTGGTGGCCCAACAGGAAAGGAAGAGACATGAAGCTAAAACTAGAACAGCCAGTGAGACTCTGTCACAATATGGCCAAGAATAGTAATAGTTTAAGAGCACCAACACCCAAGTACAACTTAATTTCAACTTTTGCTAATGGCAATTATAGTATTGGAAATCCATATTTACATGAAATTGCAGATTTTTCAGTGGGGTCAAACATCACAAGTATCTTCAACCTCTTTTTACTTTTTAAAAAAATAAACTTTATTTTTTAGAACAGCTTTAGGTTCACAGAAAAACTGAGAGGAAGGTAGAGAGATTTTCACATACCCCTGTCCCCACACATACATAGCCTCCCCCTACTATCAACATTCTGCACCAAAATGGAGCATTTGTTGTAATCTATGAACCTACATTGACACATCGTTATTACCCAGAGTCCAAGGTTTACATTAGGGTCCACTGTTTGTACTGCATATTCCACAGGTTTTGACAAGGGTATAATGACATGTGTCTACCATTATAGCATCACACAGAGTAGTTTCACTGCCCTAAAAATCCTCAATTAATCTCTTACTGCTGGTAATCTATGATCTTTGTACTCTCCCCATAACTGATTTTATCAGAATATCATATATTTGGAATCATATAGTATGTAGCTTTTTCACATTGACTTTCACTTAGTGATATGTATTTAAGAAATTTTTTTTAATGTTTTATTTATTTCTAGGAGAGAGAGACAGCGTGAGCAGGGGAGGGTCAGAGAGAGAGGGAGTCACAGACTGAAACAGGCTCCAGGCTCCGAGCTGGCAGTCAGCACAGAGCCCGACGCGGGGCTTGAACCCATGAACCCTGAGATCATGACCTAAGCAAAAGTCGGACGCTCAACCGACTAAGCCACCCAGGCGCCTCTATGGGATGGATTTTTTTTAAATCCATAGTGTTTGACTTAATTGGAAAGCTAGGCAGATGAAAGCCATCGTACATGTACGGTTTTGTTATTTGTGTTGCTTGGCACATATCTTTGTGCTTGTCCACTTTCCCCCAATACTGTAGATGTGTACCAAGCAGCACATTTCTGTAGCTCACTCTAATTCAATCTCCAGCATTGCTACTTTCTATTAAAAAAAATAATTCATTGTTTTTTTCAAAGAGATTTGGAGATTTTTCCTTCCTTTTCAAAAAAATATGAAGCCCTTCTTCTGATGAGTAGCTAGCCCCCTCCTCCAGTTATTTCCTCTCCTGTGAACTGCCTGTCCCCCAGGGCTGTTTAAGTTGTAGCCATTAGAGCAATACTGGCACATACTATGAGCTCAGTAACGGTAGCTGCAATCACAACCACATCTTCTTTGCAAATTCCCTTGGCCTTTCCCTAGGACTTGCACCTTTAACAGGGTTAAATATAATATAATTTAGATTTAGAATTAAGACCACCTCCATCTGATTTAGAATTAAGATCACATCCAGTTTTCTTAGAAAAACTCAGGCAGAGAGAACTCAGGTCCAGAGAAAAGTGGGGATGGAAAGCAGAACCTGGAGGAGGGGAGCCTGGGAGAAGTCCTTCCTAGATCGAGAGCAGAGGGCTTCAGGATTTTGAGCCCATCCCTGGATTTTGTCACCTGCAAGCTCCTCAGGAAAACACTTGAGATTTGAGTCCCAGGCCCATGTCTGTGATCTCAGCCTTGCATCCACCTTCTGGAGCTTCAGTTTCTTCTGGAGTTAGGTGGGGGGTCTGGGTTCTGACCTCTGTGGTTCCTCCATTACCATTTGGTGTTCTTTTTTTAAAAATGTTCATTTATTTTGAGAGAGAGAGAGAGAGCGCAGGGGAGAGACAGAGAGAGAGAGGGAGAAAGGATCTGAAGCAGGCTCTGTGCTCTCTGTGGGGAGCCCCACATGGGGCTGGAACTCACAAACTGCGAGATTATAACCTTAACCAAAATCAAGAGTTAGACGCTTAACAGGCACTGCTCCATTTGGTGTTCTTGATCCTAGGCCCTTTCTCCAAGCCCCTGTTTTAGATCTAAAACAGGTTACAGGTTGCTGTGAGGCCTGTGGAAGAAGAGCAAAAAGGAATGCGAAGTCCTTACTGTCTCCATTGCATTCACAGAGTCTAAGACGCTTGTATTGAAAGGCTGTTCCAACATCAGTAACGCGACCTGTCAGTTCTTGTCTGCTCAGAACCGGACTGTTGGAGGAGTCATCTTCCGAAAGTTTGAGTGTGTAGACGGTGTTAACACCTCCTCAACTGCCGTTCCCAATGCGACCTTGACTACCCCTCCTGTTGGCAGTTCCTCAACACCCATCTCCAATGAGCCCACCACCCCGGACACGGGCTCCAAAGTCTCTTTCACCCCTGCAGCCTTTGCCAGCCTCCTTCTGCTGGGGCTGCTACTCTGAGATCCAATAGCCACCTTCAAATGCCTCACCCTTTCCCTCAGTAAATGGCAGTCAGAGCCTTCCAGGCAAAGCCCTGTGACAGCCACATTTTTCTCCATTATTAAAGCACTGGTTCACTGGCTGGCCCAATCTGTCCTGATATGCTCTGGGCTGGGCTTCCTTTCAGCTACTGTCCAGCACCACCTCCCAGTTTCTTATATTTGAAACCTGTTCACCTTAATGTGTGGGCTCCCAGGACCTCCCTAATCTGCTCTGCTTGCTTCTGAGAAACAGACCCTTTCACCTTATTGACATTTTCTTTCTACAGCTCTGCACTTCTGAGGACTGACATGTCACTGTCCCTACCTGCACACTTAGGGGGCGCCCAGTCATTCCTGTAATACCCTGTGTTAACCCTAGGACCAATATCTGGCTCTTCAGTGATGGTCCTGGCTCTGGTCACAGGCCCACAGTGACATTGTCCACAGGGCCCAAAGAGGGATACAAAGGAGTTGCTGAAGGCTAGAAGACTCCCCTGCCTAACTTCACAGGCAGAGACTAATGCTCTTGGTGCCTCAGCTGACCAGATGTCTCATAGTCTTGCACAAAATGGAATGTAGCTACAGAGCCCCCGTATCTCTTCTCAGAGAACCTACAGTGAAAGACAGAGTTTTTGACTCTATATCAGATACCCAAGGAAAAAGAAAGCTATTCAATCCAATATACACAGAAATACAAGTTTAGTTAATAAGGTGGGCCTTGAACTGGACTTGGAAGAATGGAGTTTTCTGTAATAAAATTTTTATAAAGGTGTATAAACCAGGGGCGCCTGGGTGGCTTAGTCGGTTAAGCGTCCGACTTTCGCTTAGGTCATGATCTCTCTGTTCGTGGGCTCGAGCCCCGCGT